TGAAATCCAGCAGGTGATGATCGCTATTGCCCAGGTGGTCAAGGACCTGCAGTCCCCTCACCAGGTCATCCCCCATGGCCAGGACCAGGTCCAGCAAGGCGTTACCCCTAGTGGGGCTGTGCACTTCCTGGATAAGGTGAAGGTCCTGTAATATAGCCAGGAACCTACGTAAGCGGTCAAACTTGGCTGTCTGCTCCTCCCAGCAAATGTCTGGGTAGTTTAGGTCACCCATGACAATAACATCCCTTGACCTAACCTCCTCCATAAGCTGACTGGAGAAGTCCTGGTCTAGCTCTTCCCTCTAGTTGGGTGGTCTGTAATAGACACCCACCATAAGGTCCCTTTTGCCACGCCCCCCTTGTAGTTTGACCCATAGTGTCTCTGCCCAACCCTCCTCTAACCCGAAGCTAATCCTTGATGATGTGAGGTGCTCTTTGACATAGAGCACAACCCCCCCATATTTCCTCTCTGTCCTGTCTCTTCTATATACAGTGTACCCCTGAATGCCCACCGCCCAGTCATGGGTAGGGTCCCACCAGGTTTCTGTGAGCCCTACTAAGTCTGGGTTCTTACTTGCAATCAGGAGGCACAGTTCCTCCTGCTTACACCTCATACTACGAGCATTAGTGTAGAGGCACCTGAGGCCTCCTGAGGGTGCACGTGCCTTCCTCCCACTCCCAAGACAGTTGTGACCCCTGCTCCCCAGACGTTAATGCTTACCTGGGCTTCCCTTCCTCTTGTCACCCTGCCTGCTGGTGAAGCATCCTCTCCACTCGAAGCAGCCCCTTCCCCCGACGAAGCTAGGGTGAGAGCTAGTATATAATGAATCCCTATTTACTTTCTCTTCACCGTTTAGTATTTTGTAAACCCTTATCATGCCCCCCTCAAGCATCTCTTTTCTAAACTGAATAGGCCTAGTCTCTACAGGGCTTTGGGAATGGGAGCACAGGTGGTGTTTCCCTCGATCCTTCTGGTTTTGGGTTATGGGCTGAGGAGGGAGAGGAGGATTGAGGTAGTAAACCAGAGACTGTGGCACTGTTGTCATTATGAAGGCTTTGGCTTCCATGATCACAGTCCACTCTTTGGTGAGGGAGGCAGTGGTCTGCTGGGA